CTCCGGGTGGAGACAGCAGAATTTGAGTTTGCTGATAACGGAATTTAGCAGTCCAGTACTAGGCACGATGTCACGTACGTGTTTACAGGACGAGTGCCGAAGCCGAACTGATACTACCGAGGAGTTTGGTAACTCTTTCGTGAATGGAGATGTATTTAAATTACTTCTATTGAGCTTACTAAGGATGGTATTCAGATTATTAATAAATATCGAGAAGTTGGATAATGGACTTCTATGTTGCGATGTCTTTAGCGTAAGGTAAAATGGCTTATTTCCTATTTGCGGTCTTATTTACTAGATGCCGTATTTACCAGTTCTAAATTGCAAACAAATATGTCTACTTCGTTGAAAACTTTTTCAAGGACTCGTCACAAAAACCTACGCTAAGAGAGAATTTATTAATATCATGATTGGTATTGTCAATCGTGCTTTGCAGAGTGGCTGTTTCCCTAGATTACCCCTAGTAGCACAAAATATTTCTCCTATATTTTCTATATATTTAACGAATATCGTACATTTTGTAAATATTTAGCAGACATTTGAAATATTTTCAAAACGTTTGCTTTAGAATATTATCCCTATAATATTTATATAATATTAGCTCCGTGTATTATCATAATATTTTTCTACCAGATTATAGGCGCATTCCTTTTCCCTCTGGACCACGTCACCCCAACCAGCTCTTAAGGAGATATAAAAAACGTGAGGGCGAGGATGACCCAGCCCTTGAGAGGCGACGGAGGACGAGAGCTCGAAGGGACGAGGAATCAGGACACTCGAACATAAACGGAGCTCTTGGAGACTCGTCGCATCCGACGCCGATCCCTTCGCTGAACCACCACATACTTTGTTATAATAAAGTTTGAATATTACCCATATTAACCCTCAAGGGACTCTACTTTAAAAATATTCCCTACAAGATATACAAAACATTTCGTTTCATTTTAATACAAGTATTTTATAAATATTATCTGCCGAATACATTGTAAACGTTTTAAAAATATTTGAAATCAAAATCACACATTTTCCTCCCATAATGAAGTAGCGAAACGAAAGTATTACAATAATTTCTCGTGTTTTTTNCATATATGTTTATAAATTATTGAAACTAAATATGTCATTGAGATTTTCAACAAATATTTCAGATATCTTCGAATGAAATCTACAAGAAATCTTGAAAAATCTGTCGCTTGAGATATTTAGCAAGGATTAGAAAGAAATATTTAGAAATTATTCTATGCTACTAGGGTACTCTTATATTCGAGATTTCTGTAGAGATTTTAATCACTGTATTGTCGAGGACTTAAAAACTACCTCCTAGAAAATGTTGGTATCATCATTCCCCGAAGTTTCAAGAAAATATTTATTCTCAGGCGCTTTCGCCAGTATGTTGCATTCCTTGCCAAGCCTAGAAATGCAGGTGTTGGCGCAAGCTAAGGTTTTCCGCGTCCGAAAGTTTTCCATGCACACATCTGGCGTGCACGTTTACTTCTTAGGACGCGACGGTACCTTTGGAAAGACCTTCTTTTCCGCACATTTTTTCCCTGCAAAAACAGGGAATCGTATACGAAACGTCCAGGCGAACGCACCGTTTCCCTGACGCTCCGGCGCATTCTTTGACTAAGTTATAATAAATATTGTTATTGTTTTTTACCCTTAATCTCGCGTAATTTCTAATCCCTGCATCGCCTCAGTTGGGATCATTAGTTGCGATAAAATATTTAACTTCTAGAACATCGAAACACCATATTCGGCGTAAACCAATCTTTCAGCAAGTGCATTCTTTTGCAGAGTTACATTTTACAAAAACAAGTAATCTAACTAATTATTTAATTAATATATTCAACATTTTCTTGTGTGATCTGAATCGGTAGTTCATAGAACAAATTTTGGACCCGTCTCTCAACCCTTCGATAGCTCAGTTGGTAGAGCGGTGGACTGTAGTTGGTTTGACACAATGGAAATCCATAGGTCGCTGGTTCAAATCCGGCTCGAAGGATACTTTTTTTTTTTTCTATAAATATTCATTGCAAATATTACAATGGGCACTCAGAAACCACTACCACATTTAAATTAATTTTGTACAAGTTTAAAAATATGTATAATATTATTCACAAAATACCTTGGACAACAAAGAATTCATTAATAACACTGATAATCAAGCTAATATGAAAAACTGAACGTTTAAATTACTAAAGTTACATATATATTCTGTTATTTTAATACTTTTTCACCATGTTACATAATTGCCGAACCGTTAACTTGTTTCACAAAAATCTAAGCGAGACTCTTCGCGTGATCAGTCCTCGGAGACATGCCAAGTTAGACTGAATGTGGTTCCCTTTGTGGAACGTGAACTAAAGCCTTAGGAAAGATAAAGATGTTTGGGGTACGGTTGGAGATTAGTGTTCTCAAGTTACTTGAGTGACCGAAGAGGTCGTCTCTGTAGGACGTAACTCTGAAGAATGGATATACAAAATGGTCACTCGACAAAATATATGGGTCGGCTAAGTGTTAAGGTTGATTTTTGAAGTGACGTTCTGAAAGGGCAGACCTTTTTGGAACTACCGATCTAGGAAGAAGTTTAGGGTGGAATGCAACTCTGTTTTCCGGTCGCAAAAATATGGTTAGCAGATTTTCCAATAGTAGTTACCGTTTGCCAAAAATATCGATCTTAGTAATAATGTTGGCACTGAATCATAAATACAATTCCCACATTTCTTTATGTGTTCATCTGTGACCTTGTTGTCAAAAAATGATTTTGCACAATAGAGTCTACAGATTTCATTACGGTTTACTTATATTTACTAATTCCTAATATTGCGTCTCGCTTTGTTCTTCTGAATGGAAAAGTACATTTTTTAGACATTTCAGCTGTTTCCCACCGCATAATGAAACCTAAATATTTACTTCGTCGCGAATCTCAATCAGTTGATCGCAATTAACGTCAATTTAACGGCTTGATAAAAAGAAAGGATAATAACGGTTGCAGCTGACATCTTCGGTGCGAATATCCCGACACTACCACCATTAAGTGCTAAACGATCCGCATGCTAATTACTTAGCGTTAAGTTACTGCAAAATTAAATTTATTCCAGAGTAGACATTTTAATCACGGAAGACTGACGTCAAATCTAAATCGGTTGCATGATTAACGACTGCATCTGCTCCGCAATTAAAGGATCATACGTAGAACACTTGGATCGTCAACCATACTACATCAAAGAAACCAAGGATTATTCAATCCGCGCATCCTTGATTCTCCAAAGCAAAAGTTTAACTATTAACAATAGACACGTTGCTCTCGTATCACGAACACGGATACGTGATCTTTGAGTTATCGCCTGTCCGAGTTTTGGTATATATGCTTATGGCAATTGTACACTATCGTACGTATGTATGTACAGTGTCGGACATGAATGTCTTCCTTCCGGATATTCCGTTGCCAATGTATGATAGAAAGGCATTCATGCCTGCCAATGTAGCTTCGTACACAATTTCCTGTAAATTCTCACCGAGGTGATCGAAAATGAATATTAAAAAATTTCGAAATATTGTATACATGCCCTCTAAAATTTATATACTCGTATATTAAAATCTCGAACACGATTGTATACGAAATGTCGAAATATCGTACCTTGAAAAAAACCTCGCCTACATGTACGTCATATTTCTAAGAGATATTTTTAACAGTGTAGCCTCAATGCTCGTAAGGCCCCCCTAGTCTCGTTTGCAATTCACTTTGCGCCCTTTACCCTTCATTTGCGAACCAATGGTGATTTAAAAAATAGTACCAAAATATTTCGAGATGTTGTATACATGCCCTCTGAAGTTCTTATACTCGTATATTAAAATCTCGAACACGATTCTATACGAAATGTCGAAATATCGTACCTTGAAAAAAACCTCGCCTACATGTACGTCATATTTCTAAAAGATATTTTTAACAGTGTAGCCTCAATGCTCGTAAGGCCCCCCTAGTCTCGTTTGCAATCCACTTTGCGCCCTTTACTCTTCATTTGCGAACCACTGGAGTAGAGGTTAGAACAGGTACGCGTCTCCGTTTCGGCGAGCTGACAGTGCCCATTCGCTAGGTTTCGCGTCGGACAACACAATGAGGCCAATTACTTTAATTGTAGTTCAGTCCGTTGGATGCGAAAGCTCCCAGCCAACCATCGACCAGGCGGAAGTAGGAATAAACGGGGCAAAACAATCGCCGTTTCTCCGGGCATAATGCGGTCCTTCCGCCAATTTTTTGCTTGATTAATGGCCGCGACCTTCGTGGGGGGGCTTTATATCGGTCGAAAGCACGCCAAATGCGACGCGAACACGTCCGATTCTCTTTTCAGTCTTTAGTCTAAATCCGCGTTATCTTATACGCCATAAAAATCAACGAAAGGGCGAATTCAAAACATCAAGAAATTTTTGTAATATTTTCGTTCCGCTATTTCATTATGGGAGCAAAACGTGTGATTTTGATTTTAAACATTTTTAAAACGTTTATAATGTATTCGGCAGATAATATTTAAGAAATACTTGTATTAAAATGAAACGAAATGTTTTGTATATCTGGTAGAAAAATATTATGAAAACACATGGAGCTAATACATAAATATTGTAGGGATAATATTCTAAAGTCAACGGTCCGCAAATATTTCAAATGTCTGCTAAATATTTACAAAATGTACGATATTCGTTAAATATATAGAAAATATAGGAGAAATATTTTGTGCTACTAGGGTCCATTGTCTTTATTCCACGCCATCAAGGAACCAACCAAATCGTCCTCTATGTCGGTAATTTATTCGGATTAATTTTTCTCGTTGTTTCCGCATTTACATACCGGCAAGTGGGGAGGGAATCACGATCGAAGAGATAAACGAATAAAATCGGAAGACGTTCACTTCGCCTAGAGCGCCGGCATTCGGCTGATTGCCAGTCTCCAAAGCCGCGGCCCGATAATTATGTAAAATTCACGCTGCTTACGAAGCTTCGCGAGATTAGCGACGCCCGGGGCAGCAGATCGAGGAACTCCGGTTGCCCGTGAAACGTCGCGATCCGCTCGAACAATGGGATGTAAAGGTTTTCGTCGAGCTGTCGAAATATGACAATCCTCCCGTCTGTTGGGCGCACTCGGTTGTTGCTCCTGGGGGCATCAACTCGTGCATCACGAGCGCCATTGCGCAGCAAAACAGTACTACAAGGAGTCCCATGAGTCCGGCGATCTTAAGCGAGAGTTCGGTCAGGAAAACATCAATTATCATTGTCAAAAATTAAAAAAGAACTAATTACCTGCCTTCTGGAAACATAACACAAAACGCGCGGATAGAAACCGAAGTGCTGTAGACGAAACGGAGGAAAGTAACGACCCTATTGCCGGCAAAATCATTCAACGATGACGGAATGGTGAATTGAATAATTAATTACTGTCATTAAAATTATGAAAAATAAATATTAATGGCTCTAGTTTTAGACGTTTTTTATTTCGAGGAAGCAGAACGAACGGTCCCATGGTGTAATGGTTAGCACTCTGGACTTTGAATCCAGCGATCCGAGTTCAAATCTCGGTGGGACCTCTACGTTTTTTTTTCTACCAAAATATGAGCTCACGTGAATGCTTATACTTATCCATGTATTTAAAAAAAGTTTTTAAAAAACAACTTTCTTTTAATACAACAAAAAATCACGAATAGAAATACGTGAATCAGGAGTTATCTTAATCTCTGAGACGTCGAAAGACCGATGCGCGTTATCACTGAAGCTTTATCTCTTCTGTAATTTTGAGATTGTTTCTTATAACTAGGGGTATATAATTATACATTATATGTCGAATAAAAAGGATACAATTACGAGGAGGAGTCTGATCGGTTGCTGTCGAAGTCGTGGAAACCGGATTGTCTGTATGTTACACATGTTAATAAACTCCGTACTTGGTTCTATATTTCCTAAAGGGAGTGACGTCCATCCTTCGTCGCAAAGGCAAAATCCTGTTACGTTATCCGCGTAGCCATGGTGGCAGTGCATGTTCTAATATTAAATAAAAGTAATCAATAATTAAAAAATGTATAAACCTAGATACTAAGACCATGGGTAAAAATATTACAACTCGTGGATATTATTTAATCATTCTCGACGAATAATCATGATACGTTTACGCACGCAAAAGGAGATTTTACTAAATCAATCGAGTTTATGTCGGTGCACCGTGACAATATGGTTATTACGTGAACAACCAAACATTTGGTTAACATGATAAAATTATTTGGTCAAGAATTTTTAGTTGATTACTCAAATATTGTGGTAGGTAACACCAAATATTAAAGTAATTCGGTATATATAACCGAAATTTATTCACTGCGATATTTTCCAAAATTAACAAACCGATTTAATTAAAACACTTTAGCTGATTGAAGCAAACGAGTTTGGTCAAGTGAACCAAAATTCGGTTCATTTAATCAAAACGTTTTTCTAAATGAACCGATGTAATCAAACAATTTTGCTCAATGGACAACATTTTTTCTTCTGCATGCGTTTATATAGCAGACCTAATGGTATATTAATTCGTTTTACCCATTCAAAGTCAATGACGCTGCTTCATGGGCAGAACATGCATACGTATAGAAGAATAGTTAATAATAAATGAGCCAGAGAAGGAAAAGTGTTTTCTTTTTGTCAAAATGGTACCAAAAAATTATTAGAACCGGGAAACTCGGCAGAATTTTGCGCCAAATTCATGCACACTTGCATGTGCATGTACGCGTGTCGCCATGTGGACGCGCGAACGCCAACAAGTTCCTACGTTTGAGCATGAAACGAGCATGGCAAATTTGTACGAATTAATGTGTCCGCATTTAAGTCTTCCGAGTGGCTTACGACTGAGATACATAAATAACAATGCTTTTCGCAGTTACTGGAATATCAACTAACGGCAATATGTGGCGCCGTTTCCGAGCTCCAAGCTGGCTCCGCATTTCCACGACTCAAAGCTCGAACTTCAACTTCGTCTACAGCGTTTTCTAAATCTCGACAAGTATTACTCGCAGGCACGTAAGCCTGTAGAAAAAAAGAAACACATCATTTAATCTGCAGCTATATGACTGGTCTAAAATCTCTGCTACTTCCATCATGGCGAATAAACCTAATTTTAGATAATCTCTTACGTCCAACTTTCTGAAACTAATTACATATACAAACAACACCGCTTTTAAATCTCTGGTACACAGTTAAAAATATCTGTTCAAAATATAGTACACGTGTAACCGAATTTTTTTCAAGATATTGTATATTCAGAAATTTTCTGTTCACTTGTATTCGGGATTTTTATATAAAAGTGTACGATTTTCTGCGGTCATATTAATGTTCGGCCCCGTACACACGTATATGTACACGGTTGTATGTTTTTTGAAAAAAGCTCGTTATAATACGTTTCTTAATATCTATACTGATTTCTTTTCTCATCTTAGTGTCTTATTCAGAATTTTGAATTCTTTTGAACGAATTCTTACGTACAAACAATGTTCTTCAAAATATAGTGCACCTTTATCTAGTTTTTATTTCGAGCACCGCAGTTTCTGATTTTAGTATATATTTGTATTCAGAAGCCTTCAAAATACGAATCATTTTTAACAGTGTACGAACTCCAACTTCTCCCCAAGTGTCGCCCCCCTCGTTCGTCGTATATCGCCTGGAGTCTCTAGATAAAGCCCAAAGTTAAAAGAAAAATACTTTAAAAAGGGAGGAAACAAGGGGATTGCAGGTATGCAGATACGCGGGAGCGCAAAGCTCTTTAAGTTTTATCGGCAAGCTGCCTGCCATCCATCATCATTAGTCGCCATAAGTTACGAGAGGCGATTGTATACCTGCCGCGGCGGAGTTTCCTTTTTTCAGCACAAACCACAATTTGTGTCTTTATTTTTTTTTTCCTTCCCGATGCTACGATCGTATGGATGTTTGCATCGGTTGCGAAAATTCTGCCCTTTTTGCCGAGGATCAGCCCCCTGGCGGGAAACGCCGTGATTGCGACATATCGCGCCCGAAGGATGCACAGAAGGCCATCTTTAACGTACCACGTAAAGAGCCCCTTAAGTTACTCTGATATACGAGCCGTTAAAGTTCAAATGCCGCACGGTATAAATCCTACATGTATGGCAGGTATAACAGGGAATACGAGAGCACGCCACATCGCATGCCGACCCCATAAAACTGCGAACCAAGACGCACCTAACGCCTTCCACATTATCACCTACCGTCTTCAATCCCGGATTTAACCCAACATAATCCAAGAACTCGAGAAAAATCACAAAACTTGCTCAAATAATTTTACATCATTCAAAGAGCCTTCATTCAATGAAAAATATGACTAATGAAATGAATTAATAAATGCCCTATAATATTAGAAATAGTCATACAATTCATACGCTTTTAATACCTACGGTTGCAGTAACATTACCAATTTTATATCCAAAAGGGAATTAATATACACTTATTAGACATTTCCAAATAAATTAAAAATTGTACAACTTCATGTTATCATTTAGTGAAATTGTATAAGAAAATTAATATACATGTCCTCCGCGTCTAACGTATATTAAACATATTATAAATTATCGATAAAGGATTATAAAACTATAATATTTTTTAATACTCTAACGGAGTCACGAAGCACCCGTTCGTTATTATATGATTTCTCCTCTGTTTGTTATTCCTTTTTGGTATCGTTAAACTTCTGCTCGTGTCAAACACGTATCAGTAAATATTAGGGTGGAAATGCAAATGGGCAGCGAAACTAGAAATTAAAAGTAAACGTAATTTCAAATAGGAGGACGTTACATAGAGAAATGTTTCAACAATGTTTCTTATTTCAGGAATTAAACGTTTAGTGGGGATTATTTAGGATAACCAAAGTAAGTAAAGAGTCAGGTATTATCAGGTAGATGTTCATAGAATGGCAAGATATTTCTGCGGCTAATTATCTCATGCACCGAGTTGGCGAATTCAATAAATCTCTCATTTCGTACATCACGCTCAGTTAATACCATAATTGAAAACAATTGGAGCACCATAAATGAAGACAAGTGGAGTTATACTTGCAAATCTTATGGATATAAGATAATCCACGTTTAGTAGTACACCTGTTAATATTCATACGTGAGAACTGTGGTTGGCATTGCCTAGCTTTCATGAGTGCAAAACGTTTCTGAAGCCCGATCGTTATTGTCTGTCTGTTACACTTATACTCACGACGTCTGGTAATTCTTTGCTCGAATCGGCGATGCAAATAGGAACTGGTTGACATCTCATTGACTTCCGGTTAAAGAAATTTCTCTTCCCGTTATACTTTATATGACAGTTGACGGGCCGACACGAATCCAAAGAGTCCAAATCAACGGTCGAACATGTCTTCACCGAATGTGGACTATAATATCCTAGAGAGATTTTAGAGAGTTTATTTTGAACCACAAGAATTAACGGAATGAATTTTTAATCAAGATTTAACTACAAACCAAAATCGCTAAAAGAACAATTTGAAACATAATACACCATTTTAATGGCCACCACTGCAATCGACAATCCATTTAAAATATATTGCTTTTAATAGTAATGTATTCCCAAATTGTATCATTAGCGTTCACTAGTTGTAACTATAACTAGATGTGATGTTCAATTATTTTGCCAATCTCACCTTCAAGAACCGCTGGAACGTGTCTTTTAGAGACACTGGTATCGAAGTGCACTTTCTGATGAAGCTCACCTGTGTGGTTATTTTTGCAGGTGTACGAGATGCCAACGTCACATTCGCCGGTCCGGTCATGAAGATACTGATAAATTGAGAATTAACGATTCAACCATGACAAGGCTAATCCGATTAATTTTCAGCCATGAGTTCACCGTAAAATGCGAAAGATCATCGATCTCCACTTAAAGGAATTAATTTAACAGTCCTCTAAGCATAAATTTACCTTTCCAAGTTTTCCCGTAGACGCATTAATTAGCGCTTAACTACTGGCACGAAGTTTATGGACCATAACGTTTTTCCATAGTACTCGGAATTAGCCGATTCAGAAGGCGCGCACAGTGACTCAAGATTAATAATTCATATAGCGTGTAATGAAAAGGTGGCAGTAAAACTTTGCACTTTTACGTTAATGGTTTTGAAACTTTAAAGCCAGTTTCCAAATATTGTTATTATTCATGCTTGGTCATAAAATATCTCAAAAAAGTTTCGTTTCCACCGTTCATACTTTGCACACAAGTTGATAGAATCTGTGAATAGTGAAATGTTCACCGACAACTATGTAGACGCAAAATTAATCCCAATTTGAGTTATCTATTAATATGTTTTGCCAATTTTTCCCTAATTTAATGAAAAGACTTTATAAAATTATTAAAGTACTATCGGATATTAATGAAAATAGTAATTTCTGAGCAAATTCTCATCATGACAAATGAGGGTGTACACCAAAATACGACTCTATAATGTATAACTGAACACATTTTTTTTTATGTAAAATAATAAATAATTATATATAATAAAAAATACCTTAAACGGTATTTTCTATACCTGTTTAAAAATGAATAGTTTAAACACCCTCAATAGGTATGAGTCCCTTTAAACGAAGTCATTTTCCCTTTTCGTGTAAAAATGTCAAATTAAAGGCACCCTGCGTGGCGGTAGTATCGGCTGAAAATAAGCAGTATTTCTTGCTCTTATTTCAAAACATACTCGGGCCAATTAAAATCCGTTTACTCGTTCTTTAAACCGGCCGCATTCCGCGTCTTTTCTGCCGCAGTTCCCTTTCCTTAAACCCGTGCAAAGTGCAATTACCGCTCATCTCGCTGGACGTAGAGAGCCACCAAATTGACGGCAAAACTCCGATATGATGGAAATCACCCCTCGACATTAGGAAAGGAATGTGGAAACGGACGTTTAAAGGGAAACACGTAACTCCTGACTAATATCGAACTTCGTGATCGACCATCCTTGGCGTGGCGCGCTATCGACTTCTCGCAGCAACCCGAAAGTTCATGCTTCCTCCGTGTACTGGGATTTTCGCCGAGGTAAACAATTCTGAGCGAAACATTGTATCCTGCTGATAAATCATGTAATTTCCCAGTCCCGTTATTAACCAATTCGTACGGAAGCACGACTCGCAATTTCAGTCATAATTTCAGCAATTACCGATTTGCAAATGGCGCTCCCAGGGAATCGCCGGGATCGAATTTTCATTTCGTATTTAACTACTTGTATCGTTAGTAACGTAAAATTAAATAAATTGTTTGCGAGGTAACAAATCCGGACTACTTAACATGACGGTCTTGCCAAGCCGTTCGTATTTAAATATCTCAGGAATGAGAGCACAGAGCTAACGCTTATCCCAAGGGGCACAGTGACTTCAATATGACATCGCAGTCTTGTCAAAACTTACGTCATAAGTCCCGTTCTTATGACGAGTACGTAATAACGTTCATGTGAATTGAAAATATGAATCGGTCTACGATAAGTCAACGTGTGACAAGTACGCTGCCAGATCATCAATTTGGCTTAATATTTGAAGTTAGAAGTTACTCCATAAATACGATTCTTCCTCAATTCTTTCCTCTCCCTAGTTTTGAATGACAACCATCCATTCGTTGAGCTGCGTCCCCAAACCGATGGTTGTGTCACCGAAATTACGCAAATCAATACGTTCATTAACCTTTAATCGGAAATTTAATCATCGTATCCCAAAAGTGTACAAACGATATAAATGTCTCTCCAAAAAACAAATTCGACATTTCTTTCTATCCAGCCATTATTAATCGTAACTACCCACGTGAGGATCAGGAAACTCGGTAGAGTTTCGCGCCAAATACATTAAAAAGCATGCACAAACGGCACCGAATACTTAACGCCAAAGTTCGGCACTTCAATTTGATAAATATTTATTTCTTAATCCAGAGAACTTATCATGGATCCATGTTTGGCATAATGAATGTATGCTCCTTTATGTAGAGCCTGTCATTTTTCCAGATTTTTTATATTAAAATGCTAGATTGCATATGCAAAGGGTAGATTTACGATACGATGACATTGGGCCAAGATGCCTCAATTTCCGTTTAAGGGTTAAATAAGAGTAAACGTCTCTTGGGTCAGAGATCAATCCGTTCAGCCCTCGAATCCTGATCTGATCTTTCGATTCAAAATCGGTTCGACTGACTCTGCTACTCGTAGGACATCGTCGGGCATTGGTCGGGTGTCGTCGGACATCATCGGGCATCGTCGTGCGTCGTCGGTTGCGTCGGAAAGTACGCCGGGAAGCCGAGCAACTCGTCGATGAAAAACAGTCATAAATCATGATGGCGGCGGCTCGGGTGTGTATGGGTACTTTAAGGCCGAGGCGAGCGGCTGGTCACGTGACGGCGCCGGCACCGGTGTTTAGTGATAATACGTTTGGGCCATGGTGGTGGCAGAAATACACGGCCGAGTATGCTGGTTGGTGCATGTCGGCTCCGCCCCGTCAGGATCGCGATAACGACCACTATTATATTGCTCCCACGCGACAGCTACTCCTGCCAGGCCACCGACAGATTCGGACCTGCCCCAAACCGTTCGTTCTAGCCCGTTCTAACCTCAATGCTCGAACTTAGATCTGCATAGAACTGCGCCAATTAGGATTAATAAGTGCGACTAATTCTAACCTCGATGCTCGAATCTAGATCTTCATAGAACTGCGCCAATTAAGATTAATACGTGCCACTAATCCTAACCTCGATGCTCAGACCTAGCTCTGGTAATAACTGCACCAAATAGAGGTAATAAATATTCGCCATAGCTCCGAAAGTCTCCAAACGATAATTACACCACAATCGATGTACATAACTTTTTCAGAAATATCAAGAGCTCGACCGGCATGTGCTGATAACGATGGCTCGGTAAAGTTAACGAACGGCGGATTGTTCATTTTTCAAGACATTTAAGCGTTTCCTCTGTTTTTCTTTTCAGGAGCATCATAATTACAACGGATTGGAGCAAATAACCTCATAATATATGTTGTAATAACTGTAATGGTTATGATGATGGCATAAAAATCATGGAGCATTGTCATAAATATTCTCTTTTTGTACATTTTCTGTTATGAATGTGAAAGGAAATGAAATATGTAAACGATAAAAATCCCCAGCAAAGATTCTAGTAATACCTATTATTCTCTTTTTCCGAGTGAGATTATTCATCGTATTCGCGAAATTTGATAACATTCTGTACGGTGCTTTTTAATTTCTGATTTTCCAACTTGTGAAAACTGTATGTTTATAAAACATTAAGATTACTTACGAGCGTGGGCCATATTAATGTGAGGTTTCTCACTGCTCGTGGATTCAATACTCCCATGTCACCACCAATCAGCTGGATGTGCTGGAATTATTATTAATCAAGTTTATTATATCATACTTTTTTACCGACACTCAAACCTGAAAGGATTCGTAAGAAATTTTAAAACGTGAATAAACATTGCTATACAATATACTATTAAAATTGAATTAAGGCTGTTCGTATTTTTCACGAATTGTAAACCTACTTCACAATCAATGTCCTCTGTACAAATTGTCTCGCAACACCTGATCATGCGTACGCTCAATGCCATTGGTTGTTTTCCTTCATTCTTGACTTCGACAACTGTAACGCAATATACACCAAAATTTAATTTATTATTTCCAAAATTTTGCGAGAACGCAAAATTTTGGAAATAATGTAATAAACAGCATAATTAATATAACAAACGACTGAGTCAGAATGTTAGCCCTACTTTAAACTTGCGCAACCTATTTCACTACCTACTTAATACGAATTAAGTTCCATTTTAGACCCACAGGTAGGAAAAATGGAAATATCCACCACTTTTAAAGTCTAAAGTAAAATCTCAATTGTATAGAAATTACCTTCTTTTGTATACAGTATCCTAAAACCCATTTAAGACCTACAATTAGAGATTCCAAATAGGATTAAAGTTTCCACTCGAGGAGTATCCCGTAACTCTCTCTCTGTTCTTTGTTGCAAAAATAAAAAAACTCGTTTCTATAATAGTACATAACATGGTCTTATATCTTTCTAATTGTGTACATCTCTTACTTCTCCCGAAACGTCTCAATTTTGTCGGATTTAAACAATTCACCTGATCGACCACTTCAAGGAAAAGTGATGTACAGATGTTCCCACTCCGACTGACGTGAATGTTAAAATCGAACTAATCTGGAGTCTTCTAACCAGCCAATATACGCGTCCCAAATTAAGCAGGGATTTGGCGAGCTTCCGAAGAAAACCGTCCGTCAGTCACCACGGCTTGGATAATAATTACCCAGGGAATAAACCCGATAATCTTCCAGCGGATCGCCTACCTAAATATCACCTGCTGCTGTCATTCGAAACGCAAAGCCGCCTTAGGGCGGATCGAGAAAAAGTCAAAAAGGATCGACGACCATTTCCGCCGGCAGCGCGACGTCGGATAAGCAGCTTGGTCGGCAGAAGTACGTACGAACGCTGGATAAGCACCTCGTTCCATGTAATCGGCCCAATTAAATATCGCCATATTGTTACGGACTGGTCCTTATATAGCAGCTGTCACTTAGCGAGCTACCTTGTTTCTGTTTCTGTGGTAGCGACTGTAGAGTAGAGAAAAAATGGAACATTAACGAAAAATCGACGGAGATGCATTGCAAGACGTTCATATCAGAAACCATTCTTTGACTCACGGGAGTTGTAAGGGAAGATCCCGGATAAGAAATTCGAAATTTGATGTGAAACCTTAATAAAATCCTCGAAACCGCCATACATGTATTGTAAATTAATATTTGTAACCTTTCTAAGGTTCAGAACAAATGTGTGACAGAATCAGAACGTTGAAATGCACAAGTGAAACCTCATACCAAGGACCACTCGGTAAGTACATCAAAGAGAAACTTAGAAGTTTGATATAAGTCACGGTAAACGTCGTCGGAATCTTTACGTACACAGGGCATGATGTGACTGTAGAGGTGAGAAAGGATGGAATATGAATGAGACATCAATAAAGATGCGCTGCAAGTAGCTGATTTCTTGACTCATGGGAATTGTAGATGACCTCAGATAGGAAATTCGAAATTTAATATAAATCCTGAATAACATTTTCAAAACCATCGTATATGTATTACAAACTCACATTTTCAATCTCTCTAAGGTAGAGAATAAATGTCTAACATGGCGGGTGCCACAATGTTAAAACGCACAAATAAATCTCATTCCAGGAGCCACTTGGTAAGGACATCTTAGAGGAATTTAGAAGTTTGACGTAAATCGCAGAAAACGTCTTCAGAATCTTTACGTAAGTATTACATGCCCAGTCTTATGGTTGCATACCCATTCTCTATGGTTCGAAACAATTGCCGTATAAGAAACACAGGAAGGACATCAGAATGTTGAGATGCGCCGCAAAATCCTGACGACAGCAGTCATTTGACCGTTCAAAGTGGTTGTTATTAAATGATTCCAGGATGGAGATTGAAACTTTTCCAGGAATAGTCATCAGGGTCTTCAATTCTATTCAAATTGTTCCTACAATTTACCCTATAACCAGTAATACGGTGTAAAAACTGAGGAGAGAAAATTTCAATATCTTGCGGCACCAACATACACTTACGATCCCGCCCAAACTCATTACCTGCTAAACTGTAATGACTGACAAACGATAATAACAGAGTTACCTCCAATTCCAAGCTCTAATTAAACATGACTGATTCCTATATTTAACGATATTTTTATTAACAACTTCTTGCACTCTTCGTCACACCGCACAGCGAAATAGGTCGAAGCTATTCGATCCGTTTCATCATTACTGGTGGTCCCCACAGGAAGTAACAACTCCCAGTTGCGTAACAACAAATTACATTAATCATCTGCTTCAATAATGTCCAATAGGCCGGACTCTTGCCCCATTGGAAAGAACTGTACAAAACTGACCGATCGTGTGCAACAAACCACACAAACAAAGAACTGCACAAACTACACCGATCGGTTCCGACAGCGTGGGCGGAAAATCGTTGAGGTCGCAACCATTCCCTATCTGCGACATCTCTCCATAAAGCTAATAATACGATAGAACAATGATGCTTCATCGTTTCCAGGAGGTCGGAATCGTACACTGTGCACTAAAAAGAACGAAACGAAACTGGTCGGTTCTAATAGTACAGCTAACAATTCAACGAACAAGTTGGATGCCAACCTCAGGTTGCGTGTACCATTGTAACCAAGTGCTGACATGCTGTGTCGTGATTGAGGTTTAGTCGCAATTGTTACGAATCGTGACCCTGCGACTTGCGAACAGCAAAATCGTCGTTATTGATCCTAATAATCGAGTCAATCGGTTTCCAAAGAACATGGAATTCTGCACAGTCGACCTTTCCCCCTCTTGCAAGAAAAAAGATTGTGGGTCACGCATCTACAAACGCGAATGAAATTAAAGTCTCTTCCCAAGCAACAAGAGAAATTCTGAGATCATTTCTTGGCATGCATACGTAAGGATAGGTGGGAACGGCTTGTTACTTACAAAACACCATGCCGACATCTTTCTTCTCGATGTGCTCGATGCCGCAATTCTGCGCATAAGAAATAAAGCGATAGAGACAAGTAAGAAGGGTGCATGTGATATTAGCACGGCAGACACGAAAGCGCATTTATAGGTAATATCTATGTAGAGACAAATGGTCCCATAAAGCACTCATTATATCACATTAGCGAAGTTCAGCTAAGCATTCGGAATGAGCAAATAGTCCGGACTGGAGTATGTTAGCGCATCGCCATGCGCTATGTAAAAATATCCAAATTATCACGGTTTCGCTGAACTGAAATGCGTTGGCGATAAAAACCATCATCTACCATGCGAATATTTGAACTACTTTTTATAATGTTAATGGGTCAACCGACTTTTACACGTTTAAATAAACCAGGACGTAGTACAATTTGCATTTTTTGGTGCACCCGAACTTAAGGCTGTATTTAGAAAAGTTCCATAATAATCGAAATGAACGTGCAGTATGTTTTGTAACACAGCCGTATTCTATCCCGGGTCGAATTTTTTATCCTATTTAGAACCTGTAATTATAGGCCTTATGTAATTATAATTAATGGCTTTTGAGATATTACAAAGAACGGTAACTACTGTACAATTGAGGTCCTACTTTAGACCTTAAAAGTGGCAAATATTTCCATTTCTTCTACTTTTAGGCCTAAAGTAGGACACGATTCGCATTATGTAAAACGTACAAGGTCTAAAGTAAGACATAAATACTTAAATTGAACCAAAATAAGTCTTAATTAGATTACGTAGGTTCGAAGTAGGGATGAAATTTCGACTCGGATCTCTCTAGAAATATCTCGAATTGTGATGATAATTGTACACCTTGACTATACTTCGCGTACTTCGACGTGGACGTTGATCAGCCCGCTAACTTCTGCAGAATAAAACCAACGATGGCCAAGAAGGTGCAGGATCTGCTTTCCCATGGCCCAGGGAATTACATGTGTTCGAAGTGGTTATCGGCCACAAATATGCCTCGCCGATACGCACACCCGTAGCACCGCGTATGCGTGACAAGATGTACAATGCATTTACATTATATATACATGTGCCTTTATGTATTAACTTATGCGCGAGCATCCACGTCCGAACGTGTGTGCGTGGACCCGCAGACATGGACGGACAAGTCGCGGAGCAATTTACATGTCAGCTTGTCAGGGTGTAATTTGACTGATAGAGGCTCTGGCCGCCATGCGCGAGACACAAAGCAACGGGGCTTTCGATGGCGGATAATTGCGACCGAAAAACCGCTCGATTTCGAAATATCGGCATTTTAATGCCCCTCGAATAATGCGCCAGCCCTTCGGGTTCGAAGGTCTATGGAGAAAAAATGTAGCCACCTCCGAGGATGCGAGGCCTCCGCCAGGGTGGGATACTGCAACTTTCTCTCCTCTCGCTCGTTTTTCTCCAGATCTCCCTTGTATTACAGCGAAACGCGAAGAGCGATCAACGGATCGCTCTTTTTAGGCCGTTAAACTGCGGGATCGGTTCTCCGAAAATTCTCTAGTTAACCTAGGAATCCCAAAAAACACCACACGCTGTTACTCGGGTCAAAATCTGTCCATTTTTCGAACACTTTCGAATACAAATCTACACTAAAATCAGAAACAGCGGCACTAGAGATGAAAATCGGACAAATGTATGCTACGTCTCGTAGAATGCCATTTCTATGTGAGAATTCGTACATAAGTATTCAACATTTCTGACAAATCAGGAAGATCCGCAATCGTACCTCAAAATTAACGTTAAAAGGTATCTTTTATCTGTAGGCTTTAAATGGCTAAAAGGCGTCCTTTAACCCTAAAAGCGAGATACAAATATAAGCCTATGATGGGACAAGAAATCAGTACAAATATTGACCCCCCACAATACCATATGACTTTGAAGTCACATACCTGTATGAGTGTGTGGACACTTTTTAAGCCTTATTTGATTTTTTCGGGAAAACGCAATGTAGCTCCTTATTATTATAGAATTCCTTTGTAACGAAGTAATTTCTTTATAAATTGTAAACTTATTATCATTTTAATTTATACAAATTTATAAATAAATGGTTACTTAATATCAAAAGGGTAATATTTGAAAATTTCACGTTATATGAATCTTTTCTTGACTTGAAAAAGAAAATTGGGTTAGAAAAGGTTTATAGATATATTACAACGCGCTCTTCTCAAAACATATACAATTGTGTATGTATTCGGGACCGAAAATTAATACGCAAAAAAATTCGAAATTTAATACACGTGCCCTCGGACATTCGAATACTCGTATACAATAATACCGACCTCAACTGTATACGATATTTTAAAGTGGTGTATCTTAAAAAAACTTCGACTACGTGTCTACTATATTTCGAACAAATAATTTTAACAATGTAGTGAATCGCGTCGATAGCGTTCGAGTGATAACGTCTCGTATCTGAGAAAAATGACTTTTCGTTAGGCCGTTTAATTTTTTAGGAAGATTTATCCATCAAATTCGAAAAGAAACTTTTTCCTTCTTTAGAAATATTCAAAAGGTACATGTAAAAGCGATGACTGATTCATTTTGCATGTTTTTCTCGAATTCCATTAAAATGCTTCACGTCAGTCACACGTGAAGTGATCAGTCTTCTGAATGTCATCCAGCATTGCTAACCTCAACAAAAGCTTACACCGCACATAATTAATATGAGTACTATTTTAAAGATATATCCTTTTCTTTTTTATCAATTACTCACTCTGATTCGAAGTTCGGCACTGACAAAGTTGAAGACGGTGAATGACACAAGAATCAAAATAATGAAAACCATTCCCACAAAATTGGAATGCAGTTTCGGCTTTCACGAATAAGAGATGACAGCGATGATTGCAAAATATACAGGGTGTTTTCAAAATGGTAGCCACGGTTTACACTGCGCTATCCTTGTCAAAAATAGAGTCGAAAAATTATCTACTATTTTTCTGTACGGTGCATAGTTTACCTGCAATAATTAATTGACGAATACGCAATTAACACTAAAACTACCGGCGGATTTTTTTTTTGTATAGGACGGGCATTTAAAATCAGTCATTTTTACTGGTCTTGGTAGTTCTAGTGTTAAATTAGATTAGTCGAACGTGTTTTGCTGTCTGCGACGTAAGCATAGACCTTATGTCTAGAAATACATAGACATACAATAGACATACATATACAATACAATATTAAAAATTCATTTTGCGTTTCTGCTAACCTATTTTAAATATACATTTACATTTTCTATTTTTAATGGAAAGCAGAAAATCATTTTTCATTTTACAATTTAAATAGATTTCAACAGCGATTTTACCCAGCTCTAATTACGCAACTGCTTTACAAAATCAGAGGGGATGAGAGAGGAAGATTTATTATCTGTCTAAAAGACTTATTTCCTGTCTCTCAAAATTGTTGCCATCGCAATCGAGTTGGTAGACATTCAGTAAATATTAAAATTCGTAAAGATAACGAAAGTATTGTACAAGACAAGTGACAAGTTCAAAAATGAATTAAACATTCTTAAATATACATTTTAACACTTTCACGACCGCACAATCGACTGTCGGTTCTCACGTGGCAACATGTGATATCATCGGACGAGAAAGTGTAAACATTCTCTATTCTGTATAATAGGTCTCACTGACCTCTTTTTGCGCTGATTCTATATCTTGACATCAGTCCTCGATTAAAACAAAAACAGATTTATATTTTCTGCTTTATTTCAATCGTTATCTTGAATAAAATTCCATGTTATGCAAAAACGAAATAATCTTTGTAAATTACTATTCATAAGGACGGAATGACCAAGTGCGATGGTGGTGTAATGGTAAGCATAGTTGCCTTCCAAGCAGTTGATCCGGGTTCGATTCCCGGCCATCGCACACCTAATTTTTTGCCCCTTCTTTTGTCCGTCTATATGCTGATCTTCCACCTCTACATACCCAAACACTGATTTTTAATTCGTCCCTACTTATTTTAATAAGCCCTCCCATATCAAAATCCCTTGAAACCTGGAAGTGAATTTTAAGCGCCTACAAAAGAAACGCAATTTTTAGCGATTTTTCTGCATTTAACGAAAAGTTGTACTTTCTCGGACGATTATAAACAGAATTTATAAACAAATTTCTAAAAATCGATTAATTGTAAATCTCCCATTCACCGCCGCACAAAGCATTAGTTATTCTGCACCTTTCATAAACATTTTTATGATTTCATTTGTTAACCTCTTACGTGCACACATACGATTCAATCGTTTCAGTTTGAACATTAATTGTAAATGTTTAATTGGATTCTTTTGCCGTTTTGCCATGCACTTTGTCATATTCGATGTTAAGTCTTATTTATTTTGTGATCGAATATTCTTATCAATATGTTTTCAATTTTGTTTTGTCCGCATTCGTATCTCATGAACAATGAAATTTCCGAAATATTAATTTATCAAAGACAGATGGAACGTCACGTGCAATTAAAGCACGTGAGATGGTAGTGCGTCTCCTTGTATAGGTTAGGAACGCACAGAAGGAGAGCAAGCAAGAGCCTGTACTACATTTCCGTATTCGGGAAGAAACGATCTCTTTATCTCATACGTTGCTAGAATGAGTAAAAAAGAGACATCACCAGTCTCCCAATATAACAAGTGGGGAGGACGAATAATGCGATTTGACTGTGAAAACAATATCGTGAGCACCCAGTAATGTCACGTAAGGGAGAAAGTAACCTGTAAAAAAAAAATGTTATCAATATAAATATACACATGCGAGCAACATCCCTTGAAGCTGTTGTTCAAAAAATTAAAACAATTCCATGGACGACGATAGATGTTTATCGAGAGATTCTATATACACGGGAGTGATCCGTCCCCTGAAAGTTTAGGTTATGTGACAAGCAATGTGTGAAATGACAACGAAACATCAAAACTGCCGATTGTGCTTAAAGGCTTTTAGCAATGAATATTTGACGGAGATCTTTTCTAAATCGTGCGCAACCGACGTTCAGCTATCTTCGAAAATTATGGTTTGCGTAGCTCTCACAGTACGTTAGTTTGAAATGTGGTTTAATATCATATAAACTTTTATTTATAGAATAAAGGAATTAGTACAATGTAAATTCAAAGAATAAGTAATGAATTAGTTAGTTAGTTATGTGTTAGTTTGGGTTATTTTTTAATTAATATTCAATAAATTGCAAAGCATCATTTATTCCTGTAATCAAATTAAGTGCGATGGTGGTGTAATGGTCAGCATAGTTGCCTTCCAAGCAGTTGATCCGGGTTCGATTCCCGGCCATCGCACATATTTTTTTTTCTCTCGTTTCACTCCCTTCGTATATCTTTTATCTTATGTGGCAAAATAATTTAAATAACAAATTTTCTGAACTGCTTTTTTATACTGTACATAAAATCATAATCTTATGATGTACTGTTTTGGTAGTTCTATGTTTGATGTTTATAATATAAACGAAATATTTCTTGTAATATTTTTTGTGCTCTCAAATCCACTTTATAAAATCTTAAAATAATAATATCAATGATGTTACAAAATCTAATGCATCGTTTGATTTTTAGGTTCAAGAAGACGATGAATTTCCTAAATATGTTTGTAAAGTCTGTGAGGATAATGTTAACCAATTTTATATGTTTCGTAAGACCTGTTATCAAGCATACTTCTCCTTATTACAAAATTACACATGTTTCGATCTTGAACGATTGAAATGTAAAAATATTGCAACTCTAAGATGTGACGATGAAATAGTACATAAGCATGAAAATATTCCAAATGAAACAAAAAATGTTGAAACTGGAAGTGAAATGAATAAAACTAAAAAATATCATAACAAAACAAACAAAAGAAAAATATATCCTTATGAATCAAAATTTAAAATGAGGATAAATAAAAAAGAAAAATGCAAAGGTGGTACATTAAATAGCGCTACACCATTGGAAACACAACTGCTTTTAAAAAACAGTATTCAGGATAAAACTATAAGCATCAACAATGAATATTCACTTTCCAATGAAGCTATCAAAAGTGAATCGCATAACGATGTAACAGTTCTAAATGCTTCCGATGTTAGACTTATACTGAAAGCTCCGTTAAACGAAAGTAAATCTTTGATGCAATCAAAAAGCCCTGAAAAGAAGTGGCACTCAAAATTACTTCCAGTTCTAAACAAACCTACTTTTGATAAAAAAATGACCAATCAAGAAATGAATGAAGACAGAGTGGACTTAAAAACTGAAACTGATCAAGATAAAGATGAAAGACAAACAAAATTTAATTTAGTTTTGCAGGAAAATATACCAAAACATCATATTGTTTGCACGAAAGAAAAAAAAAAAGATTCCATTCACATTAAAAATCCCATTGAACAGAATTTAAAAAAAACAAAACGTATGAAGTACACAAATACTGTAAATGCAATGCAACAAGATGACGGTTATGAAGTACATGCTAATTCTCACATAAAAAAGACAAATATAGCAATGGTGTCAAGCATACGATCCACTGATAATATAGACTTAATCGAAAACAATGTGCTTATCAAGGAAAGAGAGAATTTAACGTCTGACATTAATTACTCAGAACAATATTACGAGGTAGAAGAAATACAGGAACACGTAATCGATGGTCAAAATGTCGTGCAAAAGATAAAATACAAATGCTTACGCTGTTATCTGCTATTCGATGATCTGGATTCAGCTGCCCTTCATTACAGTAATTGTCAAATAAATAAAGAAAAACTGTCTAATGAATTAACAATTAATACGTCCAACTGTGACGTTATTTTTAAATATTCAGAGGAAGAAATTGAAAATGTGGAAAAAATCAGTGCTAGAAAAGAAAATGAAATGATATCAAAAGTAACAAACCTTGTGCAATTAAACGCAGTTGAAAATGATTCCAATATGCCGACAAAACTAAATTGTTCCAGACAATTGAGCTTAGAGGAAAGAAATAATTCTGCCAATGAGTTGGCCATTCGAAATATGTCAATGGATAATGAAAGTGAATTGGATGAGGAAAAAGTAATGACACATAACAATCCAGTTAATGAATTTAAACAGCGAAACAAAATCACAGCCGCCAGCCGATCAAAGAAGTGTAAAACTCATAAACGTAAAGATCAACATACATGTCCTGAATGTAGTGCTACATTTAATAGCCCATCATTATTGAGACGTCATTCAACAGTTCATACAGGTGAGCGACCTTATACGTGCGAAATCTGTAACAGACGATTCTCCTTAATAGAGCAGCTAAATTTCCACCGCAACTTTCATAAGAATCCTAGGCATCGATGTGAGATTTGCGAAAAGCCTTTCTTAAGGCCAAGCGACATTGAAAAACACATGCGTACACACACTGGTGAAAAGCCATTTAATTGTAATTTATGTCCAAAAGCTTTTTCACAATTGGCAGCTTTGCATCAACACGAAAGAACACATACTGGAGATAAACCGTACACCTGTGAAATCTGTGGAAAAGGATTTTCCCAAAAGGCAAACATGACCAAGCATTTCAAAATCCATAAAGAGGGTACAAAACCTCATACGTGTCAAATTTGCGGAAGGAGCTTCTCTGACATAAAGGAAATGGAATTGCACAGAGCTGGACATAACGGTGGCAGGCCGAGGAAATGCAATCACTGTAGCGAGAGCTTCAGAAAAATTTCAGAATTAAATCACCATATTCAGAGGTTTCACACCTTTGAGAGACCTCACAAATGTAAAATTTGTTCAAAGGCATTTTATTCTATGTATAATTTGAAGCAACACGTTTTAATCCACACTGGACTGAAACCCTATGCCTGTAGCAAGTGTGATCATAAGTTTACACAAAAAGGAAATTTAACTAAACATTTTGAAAGGAAACACTTGGATCTCCTTGTGGACAATAATAAATACATTATTCTTGATAATAAAAGGTACACAGAAAATGAGGTATTGGTCATGGACGGTTCAAAAGAGGAAAACTTGACTAGTCTATTAATTGTCGAACACGAAGAGACTGTACCCCTAAGAGAAGAGATATAAATATTACTTGTACTAAAATGTAAATATTGTTTGATATGGGAAAGATGAATAAATAGATTATTAATATGTAACATTCAACTGAATGAAGTAATTTATTCCCTGTCATTCTCGAGGTATGCTTTCGACATTGTTCTACGCGACAATATTCCATCATGTTAATTAAAATCGTATCTCGAAAGCAATCGATAAAACTAACAGAATTTTGCTGAAATAAAACAATGTAATTTGTGTAACATAAGTTTCTCACTACTTTCACATAAAAAAGGTTTTGTCAAATTACAATTTATGAATCTTATGCAGTATTTACATATCACCAGAACCATGATGTTTTGTAATTAATGCTCAACAGTTTAAAAATTCTCTGCAGTTGTACCACTATCTTGCAAATTAATGTAAACCACCATGTGGAATGATTTGATTGATAACTTTTAAAAATATTTTCCACGATTTTGCATACAGATATTACATGTTATATATAAAATGGAATTGGATAAGTTACAATACATCATAATCCTGTGAAAACCTTTGATTATAATATATACTAATTATAATAGTATTAAACAATTAAGAACACCTCCTTTATATCTAAATAATTCAATTTGTACATAGCCAAATTTTCACTTAAATATTGTCACTTAAGCAGTCTTAAAAAATAACAGTTGCTGACTAAATATGAGTGCACTGATGAGTGAACTACACAGTGAACACCGCATTAATTATAAATATGCATGTTAAAAAAACTACATGAGATCTACCATGCACAGAAATATGATCTTTCTTGAAATAAAGACGTATAGTGATTCTGCTTACTAAATTTATTACAAAAGGAAAATTTTATCTGCAGGGTGAAAAAAAATTATTTTGGGGCTTTGACAAATTATCCTATTAAGTATTGTAGTTATTTAATTATGAAGTGGTATTTAGTATGGTATCGCGCTTTAATACATTAGCTAATGCCTCAGGTAACAAAGTAAACAAAATACTCAAAATACATAACTGCTTAACTCCTTTCTTGTATAACACAAAAGCTCACTTTTCACTAAAGTAATCAATATAGTTAATTTAGCAAAGACATCAACCAATCATCATTTGCTTCTTGGGAAACATGACAATGGTTGACTAATAAGTCATCTAATAAGCATTCCAAATTTGTGTCACAATCTGGTTGTGATGTGTCATTAGGCACATTTGTGGATGATGATATAAAATTACTGATAGTTAACTCAATATTTGGCTCTGACAATAAAATATTGGTTTCATCAGAATTTATAGTTGGATAAGTCTCGGAAGAACTACAATTAGATGAAGCCATTAAATCACTTGTTAATGTAGCAGCAGGTATACTTGGAACACTCTTCTGAATAGTATTCATAGAAAGATCGCCATCTACAATTGATATTTCTTTTGAATCCTCAGAAGTATTAGTACTTTTACCATTTTCTATTTGATTCTGGAGAGCAGTAAAGCTAAACTTCTCATATCGTTTTCCTTCTGACAAATTTCGTTTATTATGACGTTTTGAACGCTTAAGCCGATTATTATTTAAAGGTCCAGGAACAGTTTTGAGTTTACTACAAGTACCAATTTGTGCAGCATTACATGAACCACTCATATCAGATATAGTAGGTTTAACATCAGTTACATCATTTGTTATTACTTCGTAAGCAAGAGTTACTGGAGGCAATCCATCTACCTTCATTGTTGTTATTTGAATGTTTGGTGAACTCATATTAACACAATTAGTATTTATAACTAGCTCCTGATTATTTTGACTAGAATTTAATTCTAATGGTAATTCTATCCTTGACTGAGTTTTGGAAATGTTGCATCTATCTTTTATCACTTTTATATCTCTTGGAACAGTATTTACAACGCAAACTTCTTCAGGAGTATTAACACCTGTGGAGGATTTTGAATGGAAACCAATAGTTTTACCTACAATGCCATTGATAGCAAAATTTGTCTTCTCAATGCTTACAATTTTAGGAAAATCTTTGTCTTCATTCATTCCCTGCACATTTTTACACTCTTTTTGAATATCCTCTTCTTCTACATAACCTTCATTAGGTACAATATTATTACATCGATTAATAGGTATGCTCGGTTTGTCACATGTAGGTATAGTTGTAATATCTTTAGAATTCAACTGCAGAGGTATGATGGTATCGAATCCATCTTCAATTACACTCGTATGACTAATTAAGGTTTTCGTACACTTCATACCAGATTGTACATTTTCTACAATGCTGGTTCTTAGTTCACTTTGTTGAATGGTTTCATTTACATCTGAGTTACCGCTAGCACGGTCAATACTATTTTCCTTTAAAAAACTGATATCAAAGTTACTAAGTGCTAACTTCTTTTCTGAATTTATGCTTTCTATAACTGGCTTAGAATTGGTACAAACGGGTACAATACTTTTAACGTGGCTACTCAAAGTCAGTTTTGGTGTTTTTTGATTCTCTTGTTGAAGAATCTTCCCACTATTTGTTAACATTATGTTTCCACTACTTGCGAACACACCACTGGCTTCCTTTTCTAATTCATGAGCTGTTGTGAAACCCATGATGTCACTTGGCAAGGAATCTTTCTGATGACCGTCGCTACTAGGTGTTACTGGTGGAGTATATAATGCTAACTCAGACGCAATAGGAGCATTTACTGTCTTCAGCTTATTTTTATAAGACGCCCAGTCATAAGACCATGCCTCGCCAACCTTTCTTGTAAAAAAATTAAAGTCCTCGTGTCCATAGGGCCATTCACACTGCAATATAAAATTTAAATGAAGACATGATGATAGCATGTGGCAAGGTTTTAATCGCATGTAATATTCTACAAAATTTGTCTTAATATGTTAATAACTATACTCTACAAATTTGTTTAACTTCTAACAAAATGAATCAGAGAAGCAGAAACTCACTTCAACCGATTATAGACGAAACATACAAAATTATAATTTATCGAATAGTAACAATGGACCAGAGCCACAAAAATATAAATTTAATTTACCTCTTCGGATTCGCACAACCATACAGCTTCAGTGAGATTAAGCTGAAATGCTTTAAGCTGTTTCTTCAATCCTTTTCCTGCGCACAAGGGGCAATACTTTTCCATCCTATGAGAAACAATACGTGAAAACAAAACGGTATAAGAGGTTACATCGACCACACTATGTGGAGAACCGAAGAAACTAACCCTTTCTACATGTCGTCTCAGTGTATCTACATTACAGGCGTAACCTGCAAAGGTGTAATATCGTATGAATAAAACACAACGTCTGAATACTATATTCTACAAGTAATAAACGATATTTACCGGTAGTATGTACATTGTCACCTATTCACCGGGGCGGCCCACGAGTCAATTTACCGCCATGCCTTATTATAATCAACATATAACCTATGAAAGTAGTGATATTCGAGACAGCACATCCTATCTAAATTCGCGATACAAAGATCCGATAGATGGCGTTATTAGCAGAGACAGAGATGCTCATCTCTGGTATTACCACCACGAATACGTGAGCCGCCAACGGCAACTGGTAGATGGCACAGCCATCACGAGTGCGCGAGCCCCTACCAGAAATTCGTTGTGCCGCCCTTGGGGGCAAGAAACGGTGAAAGCTAACGTACGAAACCAGAGGGCAGCACACGATGCGATCGCGCGACCCTGCCCGTGAGCAATCTCCCAAATCATCTCTGTTTGTTATGCCTACCAAACGTTTATTATGTCGAAGACTTTGCCTGAGTTTGTCATTACATGACGAAGAAAAGATTGATGACATGAGTAACTGAATTTTTAGTAAATTGTTATTACTGATTGAATAGCGTCTGTTTAAAAATAACAGTATGATAAGCAATGGTAAATGACCATGAAAACTGTATTTATAGACGTGGTAATTTTCTTTTACACAAATGTGCATACATTGCCTGTTAATTACAGCTAAATTTCACAATCTTGTGATGTATGTTAAATAACATGTACTGACTGATAAGGAATTCATTTTTTTAAATTTACATATCAGGTTACAATTGTTAGAGTATTTATCAACAATCATTTTTCTCTGATGCATAATTTGTTAATAACGATACAACTTGTATATGTATATACAACTAATGCTTTATAAAGTGAAAAATTACTTTTATTGGCAGAGATTGACATTTAAATATGAAAATATAAGATGTTATGAAATTGTGTTATATAAAATGGTAAAAAATTAGCAATTCTACATATTTAAAATTCTAGTAGATTTCTATGAATATTCAGATATAGTAACTCAGAATACTTGACATAAGCATAATCTTATGTGCATGTATCAGAAACTCGGTACAGTTTTGCACCATATACATTTAGAAGCATGCATGATTATATGTACATGATTTTTATAAAATTTCAGATCATGTACATACCTACTGAGAGTCTTCTTTGTGAAGTTTGCAAGCTTTTAGATCATCAGAATATAAAAGTATCAGTATATGAAAGTACAAAAGCTGGTATCATAACTGGCGTTGCGACCGTAGTTGGAGGTCTTCTTATTGGACCTACAGGATTAATCCTAGGTAATACATTTCAAAATTTTATAATCATTATTTATGCATATATTTTCTGAAAATGTAATTAATATTTAGATATTGCTTTTTAGGTGGAGTAGTAAGTTTTGTAATGGCATCTATAAATCAAGGAAAATTTAGATCTGTAGCAGATATAATTAAAAATGATCTTTCTTCTGATGAAAAAGAAAAGCTTGCAGAAGCTCTTAGAAATTGCTTAACAATCAGAAATATAGTAACTTTGCAGGCTTTGATTAATAATTTGCAATCCGATGATGCATTGGAAAGAATTCTTGAAGTTGTAGTAAAAGAGTTTTTTAGCAAAAGGGGTATGAATTTTACATAATGAAATTGGTAAAGATGTTTTTCTTTTTTTCATTGGAAAAACAATAAATTCATATCTGGCGCCGATCCATCTATTCATTCTTAAGAAACAACTGTGAAAGTTTCAACACTTTGATAAGGATATGCTGAATTTTAAACCAAGTTTTTATCTGTAACTTTTTGCAATATGTTGACAGTTATTTAATAAGGCTGCTCACAGAAATACAGTTCAAATCCAAAATGTTAGAGACAAATGGTTTCACAAAACCAGAGAATAAATTTTATATTTTATAGAATAATTACCATTACTTTAACAAATGGTTTTTTAATTATACACACTCCATTGCCTTATAACATAACGTTTCAAGTTACGAAGGGGAAAATTCTTGAAATAAGAAATTGTATGGCTGATTATTGAAGCATATGTTACAACTGTGATCTAAAATAGTAATATTTAGTAATAATTATATGCAACATCATGCATCGATACTTAATTTTACAGTATCTAATAGTCATAAAATATATATTACAAATTAGATATATCACATGGGTGGTGAGAAAAAATTGGTAATACTTTGATAACACCTGCATATATCAATGATTGTTCCAACTAGGTATTGGAATTCCAGGAATCCAGCCTCTTGATACTATAACATTATTTACATGTAAATAAATAATGAAAATAAATTTAATTTGTTTAGTCAAGTTCAACCTTGCATTAATATAACTTACCACCTGCAACTGCATTGAGTTTTTGTGTTTCCTCTGGACTGAGTTTAAGAATAGTATTAAGTACTGGTATAAGGCGACTGCGTTCATCTCCATTTTTTAAAGTTACGAACTGTAAGTGACATTAGTTTTGTTATAGCTCACAATTGAAATATTAAAAAAAGAGATAGGAAAATAAACATGGATTTTAAGTCACCTTAAACACAACATTCTTCAAATATTCAAAATTATTTGCATGTTGTTCCCTTTCTACACTGCGTTGCTGTCTTCTAATATCTTCTTTCAATACTTCATTAAGCTGAGTTAACTTGGCTACATCCCTCTCTGCATCAGCCAGAAGTGCCGTTAAATGCTTAATACGTCGGTTACAAAGTTCTAATTCTTGTTTATCTATCATTCCTGATAAAAGATGCGAATCTGATGAAATGTACTCTTCCGTGGAATTTAGTAATTCGTCCAAAGGCATCAATGAGTTCTTGCGAATTCTTTCAACATGGGCTATCGCTGAGGGATACGAGTCTACACTCTCCGAACCCTATGTGACATAATATCTTCAAATAACAGAGATGTTAACAATATGCAAGTGTAAATTTACACTAGAAGGTACCTCGCCATCTTCTCTTTCTAGCAGGTGAAATCCTGTTAATCGTGAGTTTGAATCGTGGTCAAAATTAGCTTCGTTGTGTTTATCAACAGGAACATTTGATATCGTTGTAGAACCATCCTTGAAAGGTTGTATTAGAGTTTGCTTCATTTCCAATTGTAGATCAAAAATTTCCTGTCGATATCTTTCTTCCAGGGCCGCCATATTGCTCTGAATTAGAAAAGTAAATGATAAAGCATTTCCAGTTACAGTTTAATATAGTATATTGACATTACTTTATGAATATTTTGTAATTTTTCAAGCTCCTCTTGGTGTTCTGTTTGGACCAACTGAATTTTATTTTCTTTGGATCGAAATTGTTCCATTATTGCAGAAAGCTCTCTTCGTACAGCTAAGAGTTTTTCAATGGATTCTTTTTCAGCTTGAAATGCACTATCCCGTTCTTCTTTAATGACAGTCATTTCTGTAGTTAAAACCTTTAACTGTTCCCTAAAGTTATTGTAATTAATTGTTACCTGTTTTTATTTTTTGTTGTAAGCACACATATTATTTTTCACATTAATACGTCGATTGTTACTAACGTGTAATTTTCACATTTATCACGGAGTACAGCAGCATCTATTCTTGTTTGTTCCAATTCTTCCTCTAATTCAACAATGTTTTTGCCACCAATTCCAGTTTCTTTACTTTGATTTTGTTTTGTTCTGAGAACACTCTGTGCTCTGAGTTTGTAGCCACTGAATTCTGATTGTATTGCTTCCAGTTCCTCATTACTCCTTGCAACTAGCATTTTTAATGTAGATATTTCTATTTCTAAACCTTTGATCTGCAATAAAAGAAGTACATTTTAGACATTGCAAAATCACTATTTGTAATTTTACAATTTCTCCAATTTGCATGCATATACATACTTGCTTAGTATACTCTTCTTTTTGCATATTAAAATCCTTACAGAGTGTGTCTTTTGTCAAAGTGATTTCTTCAATTCTATTCATTAACTCATTTTTGTCTTGATTCAGTACTTCTAGTTCTTTTAGAAGATTATTTATTTTCTTATCTGCCACAAGAATGTCACGTTTTACTTCGCACAGTTCTTGTTTTATTCGTTCATTCTTCTCTCCAAGTATTGTTATTTGATTTGTTTTGGATAAACAAGCATCCCTTAATTCAATAATTTGCTGGTTTAATTCAGAAATTGTTTTTGTCTGTGCATTTACTTCCTTCTCTAAAGTAGAACGTTTTGAAATTTCATCAGTTAGCTTCATCTTCATATCTTCAATGCTTTTCTACAATTTTAATTAATATAATAATTCAGCTGATCAATTAATTTAACAATACTTTCATATAAACATTTTGTATATCACATACCTCATAATTTTGTACTTCTAAGGAAAGAACACTGTTAGAATTACATTCGTGCTGAATAGCATCTAGCTTAATCTGTGTAGCTTTGTGAGCTTCTATTTCCATACTTAAGGAATGTTTGATTTTCTCATAGTCCTTGACCTGCTGTTCCTTTATAACAGATTCAGCCCTCTTCTCATCTTGCATTTCTTTAATTAATTCTTGATTTCGCTTAAGGGCTGCTGTCATTTTAACATTCTTTTTCGATAAACATTCAACTTCTGATGTTAAACGTTGTATGTGTTCTTCATTTTCATACAAAGACTCTTTTAGAGTCAAGTTTTCACTGATAGTAGTTTCCAAATTTTTCACTAATTTTTTATTCTCAGTCTTTTGCTTTTCTATATCATCTTGCAATTTGTCATACTCGGATTGGATTGTCTATATCATGAAATATGATTTTTACGACACAAAAAATAATATTTACATGGATAAAGGACATTCACGTACACAGTACTCAATTCAATTGTTAAAAAAACAAGGAGCAAATTAAACTTACAACCTTACCTGTATTTTCTTTGCATTATCTGAGATTTGAATAATTTTATTCTGCAATTCCTCTTTTTCTGTATTTATTATACTTTTATCACTTTCAGATTTAGCTAATTGATCAGTCAAGACAGATACTTTTTTTTTAAGCTTAATCGCAAGTCCTCGAAGCTAAAAAAGAAACCAATTTAAATTAAGATTAATAACACTGACAGTACATGTCACGAAACGTACTTGATATTAACAAGTAATTGTGTATGTCTTAAAAGCCCTGCAATCTTTGTTTAAAGTATTTACATGTATTTATAAACAGGAAATATATATCATTCCAGTGCGTATGTAATTGGTACACTTAATTTAAATAACCAAATAAATCTGAATTTGCCATAACTGCACATTACCTTATTGTAGCGGTCTTCCAAAGTATCCTTATTATCTGTCTTTATTAATAAATCATTCGCGTTCGAGGAAGTTTGAGAAGCCTAAGAAAAATATAAACACATTATACATGTAAATAAAGCGTTGTTTCAATTGTAATCATATACCTCCGCTGTTGCTTCCTCGTCTTTATGATCCATTACTATTTATTATTTTAAATAACCTAATTTTAGTGACTGACACTGGTAAAGAGCACCTTCTACGTAACTAATAACAGCATAAATGACATGATAAACACAAGGATATTCTGAAAAGAGGTGAAGCTTAACCAGCTAAAAGCATAGACAAGATTCTTCATACAAATTGTTGACTTGAGGGAAATATAGGTTAGGAAATAACCGCGATATGGTAGAAAACAGTATCCTCTTCCGTCGGTAATAAAGATGCCGCTCAGGTAGATATCTATAAATAACAAAACAGGTCTCTTCCTTAGATCCACGATTTAATGTGAAGTAAAACTCCCCTCAAATCAGTCGATTCGAATAAACTACTTTTCTTTTAAGTGTATTGGACCAAACTGTCCAAAACTTTGACACATGACTCGTGATCATCTAAGGATTGTCCTGACAAATTCAATATTTGGATTTTTGAAACAAATTTTTTAACAGCCCAGACCAGAATCAAAATGGCGTCGAGCTCTCATACTTTGATCAATATATAATTGAAGGCTCTGATATGAGAAACGAACGTGTCAGGACAATTTTACAACAATTTAGAACATTCTGGTAATCCATAAACTCGCGTTTGAACGGAATAAAAGCAAAAAGTGTCTTATGCGCTTCTATGAAAAAACGATGGGAATACGAGGTCTCGGAATGAAAATTTAGTTGACATGGAAATCACGGATGGCGCAGGGGGTCTCTCTGTAATCAATTAGGGCCTCAGAAACCATGAATCCAGAGGATGTCTGGAGTTTTACTTCGATTTTTTTATAATTATTGCATGGAAACGATAGGTGGAGTATGCCATTTAGTACAATATCCAATATAATTCGATATAGCTGTCGATATAAAAACGAACATCGCAACGTAGGTATTTAGAAATATTTTCTTTACCGACGTCGATCAAGTTTCTCGATGCGTTTCACTTCATCTTAAGAAGTCTCTATAAATACACATTCCTTATTATTTTACTAGCTTATTTTACCGTTTGCCCGCAATTTTGTCCGCTCAGCATTTGAAACACGGAGGAACGGTTTTGCGTTCCTCCATGATTTTCTGCAATATTAAAGTAATATAATATCACCGTGATACACGATGATATTGGAATTAATTTGTGTACCTACTTTGTCCAACAGGATTTCTTTAAAGACCACTTTGGTGAAAAGAAAAGTAAAATCACATAAACGGAAAAGAAATTTCGAATTTTCACTGTGTAGATGTAAGAATTTTTAAAACAAGAAATGGAGCCCCTTTAAGACGGAATTTCGAAAAATCGTTTTTTAATCGATATTCAATTATAAAAGGAACACACCCTTCACATTTCTCATTTATAGTTTTGACGGTTTGGGGTGGACGATAATGAATCAGTCAGTCTGTCAATCACTTAGAGCTTCACGTTTTTAATGTATAAATTGTTAGTGCGATAGTAGGATCAACAGAAAATTTAATGTTAATCTTAATATTTCCCAATGAATGATAGTAAATCTTAAGTACCTCTAGTGGTTTTGATTAGTCAGCATGTTCATCCTAAAAGAATCGAAAATCCCATTTACTACGTTGGGTTTAACGGGTCATTAAGTTATTTTATTGAGCATGTGTTTAATAGGTCGATTACACGATATCGGTCTTGATACACATTAATTAAATAGCACGTTTGACTCTGCAGGTGTGGTATCGTTGATAAAGCCTTTGCACCTACAAATTGCTGTTCCCGTAAGCCACATCAAGAGTGAGAAAGTGACAAGTCAATCGTCTATCTTTTCACAAAGAAAAAAGACAATTAAAAACGTCACCTGATTGGAAGAAATTATTTTCCTTAATCACTTGAAAATTAATAGATAAACATCTTCACAGGTGGGCGTTTCGTAATTGATTATACAACGGAAATCGTGAAAACGACTTTCGGAAAAATTATTGTATGCAGTTACAAACATTGCAATATCTGCATCATTGTTACAGCGCGTATAAACATTTTGTCGCTAGCGGGATGATTTATCATCCCCCGTGAATTTAGAGTCGGATCTTATCGCCATCTTCCAAGGAGCAGTCGAAGAAAAAGTGCGTCTCCATCGCTCGTAATTTGTCATGGCAATTTTCCAAGGTTAGGCACCTTCCGTTCACGGTACTTGAAAACCGAAACGGGGAAAGCACGAGATTTCTGGAAAATATTCTTTTGAAAACTCTCGTCCAGAAGCGTCGTCACTTTACCGTGGGAACTTGGCAGTACGGGCGGGCACACCGCATTGCTAAGTAACCAACATCTGGAAGTGATTTTCGTGCCATAAAATTCGGAGTCTACCTGCCGTCTTGGCACAAATATAGGAAATTCGTGTGGAATCGCCAACGACAATACTGCACTTGGCTACGCGTCGGCACTCACTCAAATCAGCTGCATCGTTAACAAAAATATTATAATTTTATAACGCCTATTAACAAACATAATGTAATTTTACAACAGTTTCGTCAGATGTTCTATTCTCACATGGTATGCTAATAACATATGTACTTTTAACACTAGAACTACCGGCGGTTTTTTTTTGTTGTATAGGATGGGCCATTTGAAACCAGTCATTTTAACTGGTCTTGGTAATTCTAGTGTTAAATAATTAAAATACCTACGTTAAATAAATGAAATAATATAAATTTCACGTTCATATATAACATACATGTTACAAAGCCACATGCAACGGATATATCGTTGCTACACTGTTAAAAAACAAAATTATAATATTATAATATTTTTGTTGAAGGTGTTATGCAGACATGGTATATTAATTTTATAACACATTTGCAACGAATTTATAAACTGTGTCATAAACATAATACATAAGTGCATAATTTCCCTACGCAATTTCACAGTGTTTTAATGTGAAATTTGTTTTAATGTGTTTTAATGTGAAAAAAATAACACGATGTCATCAAATTATAAGTTTATTTACAAATTTCTATTTTCTTTTTACGAAATATATACTAATTCACTTTTAGGACATTATATATATATTCTTACTACAATCATATGTACTAAAAGTGCATGAATTTTATAAATATATCTAACAGTGTACGTAACCGTGTTGGTGGGGTGTCATGTCGTGACGCGACGTGACGGAATTCTGAACGCACTATTTTCCATATGTTCAAATTAAAATATTGAGAATTTCATTATTCGAGCTTGTAACGGTACGCGTCGCTGTTCGCCTCGACTCGTCGAAAGTTAGGCTGATAACATTTTCGTAATTATCTGCGATATTTACCCTGGCGAGTCAGATTGGACAGAAAATGTCGTTTCCTGAATCACTTAATCGAGATAACGTCACCCTTAACTAGGTCTTCGAGATTGGTTCCCCTTCTAGAAGATTGCAGATTAAAATTGAATTCTTCCTTCGACATGTGAAAGTGATACGTAACCGCCCTTCGTACGTATCATTTTCATTCAAAGTTGTCGAAATTCGCCAATTTGTTTTCGTAACCTATTGATATCATGTACAGTATTTATGTTTTTTTTTTCTTCCCACATAAATTGCTGCTGCAATTTCTTCTTCCATTTCCCTCCTATCGAACGAATCGCTCTCATCAACGAATATCCCGATACTGACTAAACAGTTGAAGAGAGAACACACGTCTAGTAAGCGTGACGTAGCGTCAGATAGAGTAAAAGTGGAATCGCAGCTAAAAAATTCATCAGCGCGTCACGTCGCGTCACGACAAATAAAAATGCCCATGTAAATTTATATACCCATTCATTGGTTATTTAGATGGCACGATAAATTGCAGTAAAATTACACATTGTCTCTGTGTAATATCACATTCAGCACCTGAGTTAAATTATAGAAAATTATAACGTAATATTGCATTAAATTCAAGTAAAAATGTACCGATATGGTAAATATACAATGTTAGGGGTATTTAACATTTTCTAATTTTTAATTCCTCCATTTTACGTTTTCCTACATGAAACTTAAATTATGAAATGTGTACAAATTTATATAAATTTTCATCGACTTTTACAGGGCATGGATTCCTATCGTGTCGTCAAAGAGGATGTAAGAGATTTGATAAAGTTCTTCGACTATGGACACGAGCGTTAAGGTGATACGGAAGGGTCATTCTATGTATATAAAACGAAAAAATATTTATAAAACTTTTATCCAAACCAGGTGCACCGAATTATTTGGAATTTGGGCACGTGATTATTGAGGCCCTAATAAAGAACGTGATGCTCCTGAAATTTCATTTTTCAAAAAAAATATCACTCCTTGGTTCTAGTCTAGGATAAATAAACAAGTTTTTTGTTTTAAATAAAATGTCACGAGCATCGCGTTCTTTCTTAGAGACTCCATAATCACGAACTGAGGTTTCAAATGATTCGGTGCATCCAGTTAAAGGAAAAGTTTTCTAAATATTATCACATTTTATACACATAGAATGACCCTTTCGTATCCCCTTAAGTGCGCTCCAGAAGCGGAAGGAAGCTCACGAGGGTTCGGCCACCTACCCGCGCGCGCATCGCCCGGGTCTTACGTAATCGGGTACGCGCATGCACAGCGGAGCGGCGCGCGCATCGGTGGATCCCACGCACGCGGCCTAGGACGGAGTTGGCCAGAGGCGCCGAGCGCCTTCTGGTGGGAGGAAGCGGGAGAAAACGGGAGGAAACGAGAGGAAACGGGAGGGAACGAGGGAATGCACGGCGGCCGAGGAAACAAGAAACGAGGGAATGGGTGAACGAGAAGTGGGAGTAGCGGATATAGGTTAGGTCGCGAGGCGGGGCTCGACTCGCTTCCGCAGAGGGGAGCGGCCAATGAGCGCCGGAGGCGTTATGTGCGACCACCGCGGGCTCACCCCGCGCGTGTCGGCCCTCTCGGGCTTCGCCACATAGCACCCCGGACAAAAGGGTGGGAGGTCCCAGGTCCGGCGGGTCTCGGTCCATGCGCCGCGGGGAGTCCAACGTGTACCGCGCACCCAGTTGTACCTGAATGCGAGCGGCCCTGTCGAGAGTGCACGCGTGCAGTTCGTCCCATGCATTCGCCTCACCGAGGAAGATCAAAGATGGCGGCCTGACTCCGGCCGGAATTTCGAGTGCGACGCCTCGATAGGGCTCGCCGAGTTGGTTTATCGATACGGACACGTTCTCTTGGTTCCGGAAGAGGTGAACGCTGACGCGAGAATAGGACGAAAGGATAGTTGGGCCGGTTCACGGGACCCGAAGAGGGGACGATGCGATAAAGATTGGGGAGGGCACGAGAAAGACTTGTCCCAACGGGATTGGTGGTGGATAGAATTTAGGGGCTGTAGCTCGTTGCCGCGCGGTTCACGAAATTAGATTCTTGACTTTTCTTGGGGTAGAATTATGTCACTATGAATGAACGTAGTAATGGTTTCTTGGGGAGATCTAGAGCTTTGTTGATACGAGGCACTTTGCATAGATATCCATGTTCATGAGACATTTGGCGAAATATATTTCCAGGCCGGATTTTTTAAGACTTTGAAATTGTGGGGCCTTGAAGCAGCTTGGCAGTTAATGCTTCTTTTTAAGTAAATGTACGGGGTTCTTGGATGCGTGCAAAGATTATTGTAAAATCGATAGTTAAAGTAGAGTAGTGAAATCGAGATCCAGGTGGGAACCTTGAAATGTTCCTGCTGACGACAACAGCGGTTCGTTTTTAAGAACGAGGCGGCCAATTGGAAGTTAATAATTAATGCCTTGTGTATCGATCATTAATTTAAATCCCTGACAGCTATGAGTCCAAGATTATGTAATATGTATTATGCATTTTAAATCACTTCCGTTCGATGTGGCATTATTGCCGATAATTTTAAGAGTCCTTTACTAGCATCGAGCGTTTTGCCCAGGTTTCAAACTCAAATTTAATTGTAGGCGTAAACAGGGAAATTGCATCTACGGATACCTGGACGCGAAGGAAGAGTTCACTAATTGGTAGAATCTTTACGCCGAAAAACAAGAGTTTGCATCTTCTGACATCTTAGACTTCATTTTAGAAGTCTTGGAAAGTGCATCGGGGACGCAATACCAATTGTTCCTCCCTATCGATTAAAGTCACAAGAATTCTCCTCCGATGAAAAGCATCATTTATTCGGCATCAAAAGGTTATTCGAATGATAATTGTGATCGTGGCACGCTCTTCTTAACGCGAAGTCCCTGCAATTTGGGGGTGCAATTACCGAGCAGGAGCTAAATTACATTACCGCGACGTATTTTGGTCAACGGCTTAACGTAGTTAACAACATAACAAAAGTATCATTTACCAAGTATCACAGGATAATTCGGGTGAAAATCGCGATAATGGCATCCTCTCTTCGATGAGGAATCCTTGCAATTTGGGTGCGCATCCAATGAGCAGGAGCTAGAGTAACCATTTGGACGAATATTCGCCAACAGTTTCAATGTAATTGATAATGTACTAAAAGTATCATTTACCAAGTATCAAAGAATGATGTCGGTGAAAATCGTGACGATGACCAGCTTCCCTCGATACGAAATCCTTGCAACTTGGATGTGCGTCCATTGATCGGAAATTAGAACACTCATTTAATTGTCAGTGGAACGAATTCTAGCCAATAGCTTCAACGTTCGCCCTATCTTCCCGGAACCCTAGAGACTTTAATGGCTAATATCAGAGACGGATCGTTCATTAGCTCGAACGATGGAGGTTGAAAGAACATTTCGCCTGAGGAAAACCAGTTAAACGAGACCAAGCGGTAGTGTTGCCCTTGCGACGTTTGGACGTTGTTCGTTTGCAACGCGGAGGGTGTCCAGTTCGGTTTATTGCAGAGGGGACTCGTCACCGAGAAGATCATCATCGAAAGCCTGTCCATGACATGACAAAGAATCTGTCTGAAGGTTGGTACCATTTAGATTGAATTTCCTTATGCTTTAAGGTTGGCTTAGATAACGATGATGACGCGTAACGACGTTGAGCAAATCCGTTCAACCTTCGCGAAACACAATAATCCAATTTGGGTCATTACCGTTTCCTCGGACAGTTACACGCGGTATGTTGTGTGCGATCGTGTCATCTGATCCGACGTAAAATAAAAGAAAAAGAGCAAGAGTAGGAAGCAAGAATTTCGCTGGACCAGCGCGCAGCCAGTGAGCTTTGCGTCGGGGAATGCGATGCGTCCGCACTCGCAGGAAGTCCGCAGGAAGGACCATTTCATGTTTTTCAAGTGTCATTAACGTTTGTGTTTGAATTACCTGGTCGTTCGACTGCACTGAAGGAGTTAAGATGGCTTTGAAATTGAATTCGTCGTCTTTTGTTGGACGTCTTTGGAGCAAAGGGATTGCGTTTCCTCGTGCTGCTTGTGCGTAAATCGGGAGGTGGGTAAAGCGGGTCCTGAACGGTCGACGTGGACGTGCGCCGTAATAATCACTGCGAGATATCCTTGTAGAATACCAGTGTTAAGGGTCAGGACTGATCGGGGAGGTCGACGTTTGGTCACGTCCGATAGCGATTCGCAACCCTACGAGGGTGCATCCTTGGTCTCAACCTCAGTCTCGTCCCGACCTCAGCCAAAAGGACACTGTAGTTTGCTAGAACGTTTCATTGACGATTCTTCTAAGTGTTGTTCGTTTTACCCTCTTTATTCGAGTAAGGTGAACGGAGAACCAAAACGGATGGTTTGGAGAACTAAAACGGATGGTCTGGAGAATCAAGACTATTTTTCTTGGCTATACAGTGTTCGGTTACTTTCTTCGCTACTTCTTCCATGGAGCTGTTTGTCGTTTAATTGCCGGAGATTGTAAAGTGTCCGCGGAGGATATCATAATTGAAAATGTAACAACCGGTAAAATGGAAGGCGGAAGTTGGAGTCACATCGCACGACGAACCCGAGTCGAAATTATCGATCTCAGTTGAACCGTTACATCTTCCATTTATTAAATCATATAATTTGCCGACAGAAATTTCAATTTCATTTAGCTCATCAAGAACCTCGGAGTTCATTTTTCTCATTAAGATCACCAAACCTTTAGGACGTTTCGGTTGAATCGGAGTATGTAAAATCTTAGCTTAGAATTTATTCCCCTTTATACAAGTTAGAACCGAAAACCTTCGTAATAGATATATAAACTTTAACAATATAATTTGTTAATAATTTATGTAAAATTGAATTCCTACAATCGGTAACAAAGCAAGGCTCAATTATGTATTTGATTATTGAGGTTCCTGAGGTTTAACCAAGTTTCTATCTAATGCTCGTTTGGACCTCTACCAAACAAAGACGAGCATAAGTGAACATTTGAGGTTCAAATGACTGTTTTTTTAACATCTTCCTGGCTTAAATTCTCCTCTTATACTCTAAATCCTTCCAGGGATTCATGAGGCTTATATGGAGTAAAAAATGTTCGGCACGGGAATGCTCGCATCGTTGAAAAAGTATCGCTGTTTCCGCGTCGTTCTTCATTCAGTTTCGTGAATATTTCCAAACAACACATTGCGCGTTATTCAAGTGAAACTTCTTATGTCACGGTAGGGTAAATACTTGTGTTAAGAAATGGGAGCGTAACGAAAATAGAAATATTTCACTTTTTTTACGGTTAAATACTATTTATATATATTTTTATGCGTTAACATTGACACAATTTTCGTAAACGGTTTCGTTAGTGTTAGAAGGTCATTTCCTTAATTACTGACACTTAAAGTGAAATGGAATAATAATGGAAAAAGTAATTTCATCTCCAACCCATATTTTTTCGTCTGACACGTTATGTATTTTAATCCATCATGGATCGATAGAAATTCATTGATTCATCAGTTTTCAAGGAACGCGCCAGCCCGCATAGAGTTTCGATCTTTGGGGTCGCATGTCGATATCTCGATAACATCTCGAAAGAGTTACCTCATAATGACACATCCGTCGATGGTTAACGTTTTCCCTGCCACGTTGGCGGTAAGTCGCTAAACGGTGCGTGAGAAAAAAAATCATGGAAATGAAGTTAGTAGTGACAATCGGAAACGGCGCCAACCTTGAGTGGGTTTATCAAGGGAAATCATCGAAACAGGGCATCAAAGGGATGTCGAAAGGGGTGAGTACACTCATGAGGACACCCGAATCCATGATGAGCTTCCCCGAGCTTGGGTGTACGCGCCATTTTGGCAAGTATTCGTAGATACGCGAAAGGAGCATTTTTACCAACGACTTTTTACGCGAAATTGAAGTACCGCGTGGGAACTCATTGTTACATTTGTCTCCCTTTTGAAACACTTTCGACCCCAATTCAAAGAGATCTTTTATACAAGAGTTTCATTAAATTAAGGTGATATGAAAGGGTCATTCTATGTATATAAAACGTAAAAATATTTATAAAACTATTCTTCAAACCAGGTGCACCGAATTATTTGGAACTTGAGCACGTGATTATTGAGGCCCTAATGAAGAACGTGATGCTCATGAAATTTCATAAAAAAAAATATATATGATTCCTTGGTTCTAGTCTGGAATAAATAAAGAAATTTATTTGTTTTAAATGAAATTTCACAAGCATCGGGTTCTTCCTTAGAGCCTCCATAATCACGAGCTGAAGTTTCAAACGATTCGGTGCATCCAGTTTGGAGAAAAGTTTTATAATGTATATATAAGATACAATTATATATATGTATAAGAGAGAATTACCCTTTCGTGTCACCTTAATACAAACACAATTTATGAACATGAAACCGAATCATTATCTACACTGTTAGAAATATTCATAATCTTCATACAATTTTAGTACATATGATTGTGGTAGAATTATACATCCTTAACAGTGGATTGTTATACATTTATTACAGATTTCTAATTAACTGTTAATTTGATGGCAACGTGTTAAAACTTTGTCAAATTGCGGGGGGAAATTAATATACTTATGTACTAAATTTATGACACATTTCATAAATTTGCTGCAAATATGTTATAAAATTAATATACCATGCCTGAATAAAACTTCCAACAAAATATTATAAAATCGTAGCACTTCATTTTAACCGGGTAGCCAATGTGCATTTGCGCTTTCAGGAATTACGTAATATTTTTTTATATTCCAGCCATTCCAATTTTCATCTCCAATGATGACAATGATTTGAAATGTTTTCTCTTGTCGAAAACATTCCATACCATCTTATTCATAACGTATCGATCTATAACTCCTGCTGTGTATTTCATTGATATTGTTCTGTCGGGGATATTTCGACATCCTTTTTATTAACTCGTTATCAGTATTTATCATTGAAACGGCAATTTGTAAGTTGACTTTGAGATCTGACGGTTGTTCTCGAGTTGTTGCCAGGTTGTCGAGTTGTCTGCCCGAACTGAAGTGTTCGGAAAAGACATTGTTATACCCAACATGGACAACCTGACTTTAAAAGTCACCTTGATGCACCGCACGTTTTGTGCGGGAAGTCACGAACGTGATAACTCGCTTTTGTTGTTTTCACAACAATCGGACTCATCGGGAGAAAAACGCGCGTTCGTGCGATAGGAATATTGGTCGATGTCGCTTCAGCATCCCGAAGAACAATGTCACCGACTCTTCGTTGACTCGGAACAACCAGGGCAATATTTAAAACATTAAAACCAAGCGAGACAAACAGGAAGCAAGATTGTCGACGAAAAATGAGAAATCAGCAACCCGCGACTCAGTTCAGAAGACGTTGATTAGACGCAAAGAAGTCTGTCTTGGAAGTTAGAAAATTTTCGTATTTCCATGTCTCCCATTCTTCGATCACAAAAACTCCCCAAATACAATCTATCGTTTATGAGTTTTTCTAATTTATATCTGACTTGGACGTTAGCAAACGCTGATTTTCGTACTCCATGTATTCCATTTATTGATCACAAAAATTTCCCAAATATAATCTGTTGTTTATGAAGTATTTTCATTTATATGATACGCATAATACTTAGCCTTTTTGTAATAACAGTTTTACATAACATATGGAGGGATTGATGGAAAGAAGTTCGTCAAAGTGGAGAAAACTACTTTTGTTGAAGTTACTAACCTACGCTGTTAATCAAACATTGTAATTAGGTAATACTTTTGTGGGATGTTTCATTCAGATATAGTATAGGTATTATTCTTATAATACATCTAATAAGTACACTAGCGTATTAATTAATTTCCCTAAGGAATTCCACAAAACTCTAACGTAATGTTATACATTTGTAAAATCTATCTGAAACTTTATAATGTATGTATTTCATTTTTAAGACATGAAATTTTCAATTTCACCACAATCTTATACGGTACAATAGTACTTATTGTTCTCCTTAAATGGCAATAAACCGACCATAAAAATAATAATCCTTTCCAACATATTTTACAGAAATAAATCCCATGATTTTAGCACATAGGATGGTAAATGTGAATACATTAGTAATCTTCAGCTTATAGTTAGGACATATGCATGCCTAGGACTTACAAATAATATAAATAAACAACCGTATGAACTAAATGTCTAGAAATGTTGTAAATATTTTTAACAGTTTAGACAGAAGACGAGGAGCACGATTAATTGGCTAAAGAATAAAATTATAGTCACTATGGGAGACGTATATTTCTAGGTTAAGGTTCGCGGAGAAATTCTTCATTTGACGCCTTGTGTGAATACCGGAACAGGTGTAACACGAGCTGAAAGAAGGGATGCTGGCAGACTGTTCGATTACATGTCGAATGAGTCGAGGATTGTGTTACCGTACCCGCATCTCACCCCCTCCCGTGGGATCCGAAATTGCGTCTCTTCTTTAATATTCTTCCCTGCGAGACTGATAAGGTACTTCAGGGTAACTTGAAAAGCTTGTAAAAATCTAAAATATAATAAAGTATTTTGGGAAAGGGAAATGAGCAAAGTATACACGAACAATGTT